TTTTAAAAAAAAAAAAAAAAAAAAAAAAAAAAAAAAAAAAAAAAAAAAAAAAAAAAAAAGAAATACTTGTGTATAATACAAGAATATTCAGAGCAGAACTGTTTGCAATAGTGAAAGACCAGAAACAACCAACAGAATAATAATCAATCAATTATAGAATAGTCATAATATGGATTACTAGGCAGTCATTTAAAAAAATAAGGTTGATCTGTATTTAATGAAATGACACGGAAAGATGTGCATATCACATAAATTAAAAAAAAAAGAAAGAAAGAGGAATACATAGTATGATTCCACTTCTGTAAACTAAAACAAAACATCCAAAATATACTAAGATTTGTTTGTTTATAGATATTTTATATGGATATATTTTGTAAACAAAGAAAAACTTGTTTTGCTTTCTACAATAGGCATGTATTAGTTTTTTCCTTAAATTCCAAAGCATTTTAAAAGCATTGTTAATTTTACCCAATGCCAAAATTATCTTCCTACTATATATACATGCAGAACTCTCTATGCAAGCTTTGATTTTAGAAGTTAAACATTAAAAGGGTATTCTTTATTAGCATATGACTATATTAGAAGTCAGATAACTAGACTGAAAATTGCAGAGAAATAAAAGTAAAGCCCAATGAAAGAAGGTAAGTGAAAAATTAATGAAATAAAACACAAGGATTTGTGATTCCATACTATATTTTTCTATTTTCTTTAAAATCAAATTAAGATTTTTTTTTCCAAAAATATAAAGAACTATTAAACACCACTTCAAATCATCTGATCAGTAGTGATGCACATACGTGTTTCCACAAAGTATTAGGTCTTATTTTATCTTGTTTTTTTCCCACTTAACATTATCTCATATGTGTATTTCCATGTTAAAACAATTTGAAAGTTTTACTAAAACTGATTTTGCTATTCTCTTACTGTGAGACATTTGGGAGTGTTTCCTATTTTAGGTGCTCATAATTGATACTTATGGGAGCATGTTTTAATAGACTCTTTTTTTCCTCTTTAGGGTTATTTCCACGGAATATATGTTCCAAATTGGAATTGCCAGGTCAAAGGGTTAGAAATAGTTTTATAGCTATTTGATTATCAAATCACACTGTAGCTGAGTTTTTCAATTTGGGGTGGGAGAGAACCTACAGTTTGAAAAATCATTTTAAACATTTTAATATTTATTGTTTTTGTAATATAAGCAAAGCATGTTATTTTTAATTGTGATTTTTCTGTATTTCTAGTTACAAAAATGAAGCAATGCAAGAGATATGCTGTTAAAAGTGACCTATACTGGGCCGGCCCGGTGGCGCACTGCTACAGTGCGCCGCTTGAGAGCGCGGTGGCACTCCCGCCGAGGGTTCGGATCCCACATACGGACCGGCCGCTCACTGGCTGAGCGAGGTATGGGCGCAACACCGAGGGTTGCGATCCCGTTGCCGGTCCCGGTCCGGTACGGGTGCGACACTGAGGGTTGCGATCCGTTGCTGGACACGAAAAAAGACAAAAAGGAAAAAAAAAAAAAGTGACCTACACTGAACTTTACAGTCCCTAGAAGAGAATAGCTTATAGCAATCAAGTAAACTCAATACTCCAACCTACTGACACATCACATAATGGAAATAAAAACAAAACAAAAAACACTTCCACTGCTTTACTTTTTGGCACAATGTTTATTTATTTATTTATTTATTTTCCTTTTTTCGTGTCCGGCAACGGATCGCAACCCTCAGTGTTGCGCCTGTACCGGACCGGGACCGACAACGGGATCGCAACCCTCGGTGTTGCTCCCACGCCTCGCTCAGCCAGTGAGCGGGAACCGGTCTGTATGTGGGATCTGAACCCTTGGCGGGAGCGCCACCGCGCTCCCAAGCGGCGCACTGTAGCAGTGCGCCACCGGGCCGGCCCCACAATATTTATTTTGAAATAAGAAAGATATTAAATTTTTATGTTTTTCAAGAGGGTATGGAAAACTTTATCCTATAAATATGCCTGCATATGTATAAACTCATATATATACAAGAATATTTATCACAGTACTGCTCAAAATAGCAAGATTGAAAACAACTCAAAAGTCCACCAGTAAAAGATTGGGTAAAAAAATTATGGTACATCTATCCAATGAAATACTATATAGTCATTTTTAATGTCTATATATGTAGTAATGTGTCCATGTGAAGTGATCTCCAAAATAATATTAAGTGAACAAAGTATGCTATTATTTGACTAAAAAAGAAAGAAGACAAGCACTCTCTAAAAACACACACAAACATGCATACACAGATTATATCAGAAAGGGCACAAGAGAAACTAATAGAGGCTGCCACTAGGGATGGGAATTGGGAGACTGAGAGATAAGGGTAGGAGACAGACTTGTTTTTCAACGTACAGTTTTGTGCCTTTTGAATTCTACACTATGTGTATGAATTATATATTCAAAAGATAATTTCTGAAAAAAGGATTATGTAGAAATATTAACCAATTTATAATAATTCCCACAATGTAAATGTACCTGACTAGCTTAAATTTGTGTTTTGGTTGCTAGGCAGGCTGTATATTTGTCCATGAGATGACTGACTTATTTTCTTATGTATAAGATTAACTATTTCTGTACTACAATCTGTACAAAATGGGTACTAATATTATATTTGTATCAATTTTTCAAGTTTAGTGTAGCAGCTTTTTTTTGTCACATCTTTGCTTCTGCTATTTTCCTCTTGATAGTTATATTTCAATATGTTAACACTTACATTTTTATGTTTGAACTCTCCTACCTGGAAATTTGTACTAAATGTTTAATTCTTGAACTTGATATATTTATTAAATCACAGTACTTTTATCTCTGCTATTTTAGATCTTCAAATCCCTTATTTTTTTTCCATTTTATTTCTCTCAAAATTTCTTAGTCTTTCTTGAACAAATCTCACATACCAACTTAAATTCTCAGGTAGTTCATGGAAGGTTTTGGTCACCACTGTGAATGAAATCTTATGTCAAAAAATTTTTTTTAGTTAAGTAAGCAATACATCAACATATTTCTGGTATTACAAAATTCAAAAATAAAGACATAAGAAAGCATAAAGTGAAAGCTTACAACATCTCTTTTTTCCAATCTATTTCACCTTCCCTAAAGGTAACCATTATTACCTCTGTCCTTTCATTTTGTATTTTACATACATACAAATAGACATGGAGACACACACATTCATACACACACTCTCTCTGCCCAAATATATGGTTTAATAATTTATTTTTTAAATATATGTATATAAATGGGATGATGCAGTACATAGTGTTCTGTAATTTGTTTTTCTTTTTTTTTTTTTTTTGTTTTTTTTCGTGTCCGGCAACGGATTGCAACCCTCAGTGTCGCGCCCGTACCGGACCAGGACCGGAAATGGGATCGCAACCCTCCGTGTCGCACCCGCACCTCGCTCAGCCAGTGAGCGGGAACCAGTCCGTATGTGGGATCCAAACCCTCGGTGGGAGCGCCACCGCGCTCCCAAGCGGCGCACTGTAGCAGTGCACCACCGGGCCGGCCCTGTAATTTGTTTTTCACTTAATGATGTATCTTGAAAATTTTCCAGGTCTTTACATGTAGATTTAACTCATTGTTTTTAACAGCTTTCATTATAGTTCATAGTATTTTTGTATCACAACTTATATAACCAGTGTTCTATTGATGGTTATTTAGACTGATTACATCTAAAAATATTTTTCTAGAATATATTTCTAGAATTAGAAACAATGGGTTAAAAGGAATATATTTTTAAAACGTCAACAGATACTGTTAACATTGCTCTTCAAAAAGTCTTCATCAATTTACATTCTCATCCTCAGTGCCCATTTCTTCAAAGTCTCACCAGTCTGAATATCCTTCGTCCACTTTGATGTATGAAATATATTCCTTGCTGTTGTTTTAATTTGCATTTTCCTCATTACTTATGAAGGTAAACATTCTTTCATATGCTTATCACTGTATATAATTCTTCTGTGAATAACATATTCATACATATCTTTTACTCATTTTTCTGTTAAAATTTGGTCTTTTTCTTTCTACTATTTGGATTATAAGAAAGCAATTGATTTGTTGTAATTTTTGTTTAGCACTATCACTAGTACTAGGCCTGGGGTGTCTGTATATTAAATATTGCTTTAGTTTCTTATTCTTTAGATTAAAAAGTTGAAACAATTATTAAGAAGAATGCAATTATTTAAAATTTAATTTTGTTTTGCTTTTCTTGTCAACAAAAGGGAGGCAGTATAAGTGCCTGGATAATGCAGACTAATGGCCTAGGTTCAAATACACAGTCTGTCATTTAGTAATTATATTACCTCGGACACATTACTTAAACTAAGTCTTGGTTTCCTCATTTATAAAGTAGAAATGTAATACCTTCATAGTCTATTGTGAGGATTAAAATAAATCGTCCTTATAAAGCACTTAGCACAAGCACTTCCCACTTAGTAAGTGCTCAATAAATGTTACCAATATTATTATAGCTAACAAGAGATGGCTACATGAAAGTCTCAAAGATTAGCACTATTAGAAAGAAAAAACTTTTTGGTAAGCATGGAAAATGATGTGATATCTTTCATTCATATATACTCTACATAGTAAATAATCAATGAGGGAGGGTTTTCAAGAAACCTAAAAATTAAGTCTCTATGAGGCAAAGTGCCATTCCAGCTTTGCTTCTAAACCCGTCTAGTCCACCCACACATGTTTAATCACAATTATGCACTATACTTACGATTTTTGTGGCCTAGTGTCATAATTCTATCCATATCATCAGCATTATTTACCACATAAGCTGATAAATCTTTGATATAAACTCCCACATCAGGTCTTTCTTTAACCTAAAAAAATATATATATGACTTTCCATTAATATCAGTAATTCTTCCACAATTATTTATTGAGCATCTACTATGTGTCAGATACTCTACTACGTAGTGGGAAACAAGACAGACAACTCACTACACTTGAGATGATATTCTAAAGGGAGAACATACGAACAGATAATCACACCAAAAATTATTTTATTTCAATCATGATAATGCCATGAGGAAAAAATACAGGAATATATTGCAGAGATACTAAGCTAGTGAAAGGGAAAGGATAAGTTTTCCCAAGATGATGTTTAAGCTAAAACTTGAAAAGAAATAGGAGGTAGACAATCTGAATTAAGATAGGAGGAGAAGCATATGTGCAAGAATCCTGAAATGGGAAAAACTAGGCACTTGCAAAAAATAAAGAACAAAATAAAAAAGACAGTTTCAAGTATTCTAAGGGACAGAGAACAGACTAATACAATAACTGATTAGATATGAAAGATGAAGAAATAAAACATGATTTCACATTTGTGAAAGTTAAAAAAAAATTAAGTAGTAATGCTACCAAAGAACTTTTATCATAAAAAAATAGGAATTTAGATCCCCAGCCCTGCTAAGTGTGCACCAATCAGAGAGGTGCCAAGATCTGCAGGGACTACGTGCCCTGTGGTGCCGGCACGTGACCCAGCAGGTCAGCCTCGCTGCCACCACCCGACTCTATCCCCAGCCCCGCCGAGTGCGCACTGATCAGAAAGGCGCCCAGCCAGAGAGGTGCATGATCCTCAGAGACTACCGGCCCAGTGGTTCAGCACGCAACCCAGCAGGTAGGCCTTGCCACCACTGCACGACTCCATCCCCAGCCCGGCCAAGTGCTTGCTGACCAGAGGCACCTCCCCAGAGAGGCCCAAGATCTGAGGAGACCATGCACCTGAGGCACTAGTGGGCAACCGAGCAGATACTGAGGAAGCCATACAAAATTGGTAGCCCCTGTAGCATCCTAGCCAGACAATAGTGTCAAACCAGTGGACTGTGAAATCCCCTGCCACAATGACTAAACATCAAAGGAAAGATAGGAGAAATATGAAAAATCAAGAAAGTACATCACCAAAGGGTAATAACTCTGAAGATCTAGATCCTATAGAACAAGAAGCCCTTGAAATGTCTGACAAGGAATTTCGAGTGATAATTCTAAAGAAACTAAATGAGATACAAGAAAACTCAGCTAGACAGCGCGATGAAACGAGGAAAAGTATACAGGACCTGAAAGAAGAAATGTACAAGGAAATCAATGCCCTGAAAAAGAATGTAGTAGAGCTTGCTGAGCTGAAGAATTCATTCAACCAAATAAAAAACACAACAGAGAGTTTAACCAGCAGGCTTGCAGAAACAGAAGAGAGTACTTCTGACCTTGAAGATGGGCTGTTTGAAATAACACAGGCAGACAAAAAAAAAAAAAGAAAGAAAGAAAAGAAAAAAGAATTAAGAACATTGAAGAAAATCTGAGAGAGATATCAGACAACCTTAAGCGCTCAAATATCCGCATCATGGAAATTCCAGAAGGGGAGGAAAAAGGAGATTGCATTGAAAACATATTCAACAAAATAGTGGCAGAAAACTACCCAGGTATAGAAAAAGACACAGATCTTCACATTCAGGAAGCTCAAAGATCCTCAAACGTATTCAACCCAAAAAGGTCTTCATCAAGACATGTTATAGTCAAATTGGCAAAACTCAAAGACAAAGAGAGAATCTTAAAAGCTGCAAGAGAGAAGCATCAAATCACATATAAGGGAGCCTCAATCAGACTAACATCAGACTTTGCATCACAAACCCTAAAAGCCAGAAAGAAATGAGATGATATATTCAAAATACTAAAAGACAGAGATTGCCAGTTCAGAATACTCTACCCTGAAAGACTATCCTTCTGAAATGAAGGGAAAATAGTATATTTCTCAGACAGACAAAAACTGTGGGAGTTCACTACCACAAGACCACCCTTACAGGAAATTGTCAAGGGAGTACTGGGTTTGGTACCTGAAAAATAACTACCACTGCTATAAAAATTCAAGAAAAATCAAAACTCACTAGTAAAATAAAAATGGCAACAATGAAGAGAAAAAAAAAAGTTTATCTACAACCCAAGGAACCAACAAATACAGAAAACAAAACAGTAGATCATAAAGAAAGGAACAAAAGACACTTAAGACATCCAAACAAAAATCAATAAAATGCTAGGAGTAAATCAACACTTTTCAATAACAACTCAATGTAAAAGGATTAAATTTCCCAATCAAAAGACACAGATTGGCTGGCTGGATTAAAAAGGAGGGCCCAACTATATGCTGCCTTCAAGAGACCCACCTCATCTATAAAGACTCACATAGACTAAGAGTGAAAGGATGGAAAAAGATTTACTACGCAAACAGAAATGAAAAACGAGCTGGAGTAGCTATTCTTATATCTGATAAAACAGACTTTAAACTAAAAAGCATAAAAAGAGATAATGAGGGCCACTACATAATGATAAAAAAATTGATCCTTCAAGAAGACATAACAATCATATATATACGCACCCAATGTCAGAGCAGCCAGATTTATAAAACAAACTCTGTTAGACCTAAAGAAGGAAATAGACACTAATACCATAATAGCAGGGGACCTGAACACCCCACTATCAATATTGGACAGATCATCTAGGCAAAGAGTCAGCAGAGAAACACAAGATCTAAACAATACTCTAGACCAATTGGACTTGGCAGATATCTACAGAACATTCCATCCAACAACCTTAGAATAGTCATTCTTCTCATGAGCACATGGATCATTCTCCAGGATAGATCACATGTTAGGTCACAAATCAAGTCTCAACAATTTCAAAAAATTGGAGTTATCCCATGTATTTTTTCAGACCACAATGGATTAAAATTAGAAATCAATAACAAATGAAATTCTGGAAACTATACCAACACATGGAAATTAAACAGCATTCTACTTAATGACATATGGGTCCAAGAAGAAATCAAACAGGAAATCAAAAAAATTATTGAAACTAATGAAAACAATGATACATCATACCAAAACCTATGGGATACTGCAAAAGCAGTACTAAGGGGAAAATTTATCGCATTAAATGCTTACATCAGAAGAATGGAAAGATGGCAATGAACAACCTAATACTTCACCTTAAAGAACTAGAAAAACAAGAACAATCCAAACCCAGATTTAGCATATGAAAAGAAATCATTAAGATCAGGCAGAACTTAATGAAATTGAAATCTAAAAAACAATACAAAAAGATCAATGAATTGAAAAGTTGTTTTTTTGAAAAGATAAATAAAATTGACAAACCATTAGCATGGCTAACTAAAAAAAGAAGAGAGAAGATTCAAATAACAAAAATTAGAAATGAAAAAGGCAATATTACAACTGATACGTCTGAAATACAAGGAATCATTTGATACTACTATAAACAACTATATGCCAACAAATTTGAAAATCTGGAGGCAATGGATAAATTTCTGGAAACACACAAGCTACAATAACTGAGTCAAAAAGATGTAGAAAATCTGAACAGACCAATAACAATAAAAGATATTGAAGGTGTTATCAGAAGGCTCCAAACAAAGAAAAGCCCAGGACCAGATGGATTCACAGCAGAATTTTACCAAACATTCAAAGAGGAATTGACACCGAT